GCCGAATCACTGCAAGTCGGGGTCGTGTGTAGCACAGCAACTTTCAGGAAAGTAGTTCCCTCCTCCCTTCATTTCCCAAATCGCGGTGGAGCCGGAGCGGGCGGGGGAGGAGGGAGGAGGCGGAGGGATACGCGGTTGCGCCGCGCGGCGTGCGTGCGCGCGCTCCAAACTCTTGGCACGCTGCAAGAGGGGCGGGGGTGGGAGCTGCAAGGGGCTCCGCTCTCGAGGTTGCATTGTTGCGGCGCCTTTCTCTGCGTTGCCTGGCTTGGAAAATCCGGGTTGCTTGAACCAGCGAGTTACAAAAACAGTGTGCTCCGGGAGGAAATTTGGATGCTATTCTACTCTGCCGTGTGTGTGTGTGTGTGTGTGTGTGTGTGTACGTGTACGCGTGTTTTCCTTGCAGAGCAAAGAAGGGTGCCAGCATGAGTACATTTTAGTTGGGGTTACAGGCGGGGACAGCAAAGACAGCTCCTCCTGCTGTCCCTCTGGTTGCATTGCTGCAGTCCCCAAGCTGCTTGCACCAGCGAAGATTGTGTGCCGGGGGCTAGGAGGCGTGGGGAGAGTAGTTTTAATATCTTGCTGCTTGATTTTTTTTTTAAACTGCGCAAAAGATATGCCGGGCAGGACATTCATTTCTGAAAGCCGGAGTGGTTATTAATGGAGAACGACTTCCATTGAAGCCCAGGGTAGGCGTGCTAACATGAATCTGGCGCATCTAGAAGCACAGGAAATAACTCCCGCGGCGAGTGAGGTTGCATAACTATAGCGCAGGAGATGCATCTGTGCCACGAACTGCTTCAAAGGGGGTACAGAACAGTGCTGAATAGTCAGCTGTCACTTTTGCATTGGTAGAGGACGAATAAGTGCATCTTGAAAAATTTTTGCCCTGCAATGTGGGGTTTCAAGTTGGAGCCTAGGGTCTGTCCAACTGAGGACTCAGGGCTCCCAAATCAGATATTTCCGTTACCTCTTCTTTACCTAGAAAGCCGGCCTGGGGCCTGGAGGACCAAATCCCAAGCGCGCCCAAGTTCCAGGTGTCAGTCTGACTGTGTGCAATGCTTTTTCACATCTTGAATGTGTGAGACCTGAGAAGGAGGGCTGCTGCTCCAGCCACCTTGAGGAGTGGAGCAGTTCCAGAGGTAGAAAGAGGACTTCTGTGCGAGCCAACACTCCTGCCATCTGCTTAAGCTTTGGGATTGCTCCCTGGAGGAGCATACATGCTAGGCTGTTAACATTTTGCATATGCATAGTAGTGCTTAATGTTTGAAGAATGAACAAGGGAAGAAAACCACTGTCCCACACATACAAAAAACAAATCCTCTTAATGACTCAGGTCCCATTATGTAACTAGCTTCGAGCCTCAGCAGGATAGTCTCAAATGAGAGCAAAGAATGGGGACCATTAGTGATGGGAAAAGGTGAAGGAGGACTGTAACAAAGGGAATCTTTACCTGGAAATCCTGCCTGAGACTTGAGGACCAGGTTACTAGTGTGGGTCACCAAGCTCGTCTTAAAGATGGCCTTTCAAACTTGTCCCTTTGAAGAATCTGTAGCTGAGATTGTTGATTCAGGCCTTTTCTTCTACTGCTACCTCTAAGGCCACTCCGGTGTGAATAAAATCCCATTGCAGTTCTTATAATCTCAGCTCTGAAGCAAATTTCTCAAACTCTTCCTGAATATAATGGGATAATAGTGCCTAACTCAGAGCCGTTGCACTGATTGAGATAATTTGCATAAAGCACATTAAGAGTTAATAATATGAACTCAGTAAATCTTTTTTTTTTTTTTCCTTGCCTTTTTTCAGACAGGGTCTTGCTATGCAGTTCACGGGGATCTTGATCTCACTTTGTAGCCAGGGCTGGTCTCTAATTTGGAAGGATCTTCCTGCCTTAGCCTCCTATGCCCTTACTATTTTCTGTAACAGACATGATAGACTTCATGGCAAATTGGAGGCAGTTGCTCTGAAGTTTATTAAACCATTCAGTGGTATTCATTCATTCAACAAATTGCCATCAGTCTTTTTCTGTGTAGCCCCCCTCCTATTAAAATGACTTGGTCCTCTGTAAGCCACCAGTGATAATGACTCCGGGAGACTAAGGCAGTGAGACTGCAAGTACAAACCCGTCCTGGGTGACTACATGACAGTGAGATCCTGTCTGCCTGTTTCAGAAGAAAACATTGAGGCTGGGCATGGGGATGCAGGCCTATAATCTCAGCTTTCTCGGACCCTAAGGCCTAAGAATGGAAAGCTTATCCAGCCTGAGAAATTTAGTGTTTTAGTGAGATACTCTCTGAATAAAAAAGCGGTGAAGATATAACTGTGCAAATCTTTATTGGATTCAATTCTAACTACCACAATACATAAAAAAATTTAAATATTATAACAGGACTGAGGTGTATGTAGATCAGTGTGAAAGTCCTGGATTCAATCCCAGGGGGAAAAAAAA